CCCAAAAAGTCTAAATAAATAAGTAAATAACAAAATATAAATTCTGAAGACAGTGTGAAAATAGTGGATGGGAGAGACCAGAGTAGAGTGTGTAAGGCACGTGCCTCACGGGTTTGATCCAGGGCATCTCAATGTCCCCTGAATCCCACCAGGAGTAATGCCAAAGCACAGAGTCAGGAGTAAACACTGATCACTGCTGGGTATGCTATCCCTGCACACACATGCACACACACACACACATACACACAGAGAGAAGAGAGAGAGAGAGAGAGAGAGAGAGAGAGAGAGAGAGAGAGAGAGAGAGAGAGAGAGAATAGTGAACGGTACTAAGGGTCTATCCAACAGAGATATTGTTAGGGATCAGCAGCTGAAACATGAGTGTAGGTATTGTCTAAAGTTATTGTCTATTTGGTGAACTATATTTGAAAAAAAGAAGGGGGGAAAGTCCCTGATATTCAGGAGGGTCCCTGGGATTATCTGCGAGGATTAAGGCAGTCTATTGGACATAAACAATTTCATGGAACCTCAACATTAAACAAGGTAATTCTGTGACTCTGATTGATCATGACAAAAACAAGGCCACTCCATAGTCAGACAAAATATGAACATTGTGTAACCTCAAAATCCCCAATACAAACAGTAGCCCTTTCTGATGATGGCAGCACTTTGCCCATTGTAATACACTTGTCCTGTAGGGAGCAATTCCTAGGGTGGAGGCTGGAGCGATAGCACAGCCAGAAGGGCACTTGTCTTACACACAGCTGACTTGGATTCGGTTCCTGCCATCCTATATGGTTGCCAGAGACAGCCAGGAGTGAACCCTGAGCACCACTGGATGCCCCAAAAGAAAAAAATTGAATTTCTAAGGTATCCAATCACATATTACCCCTGATTCCTCAACCCCAAGTCCAAATTAGCTAGACCAGTCTCAAATCATTTCAGTCTTTTCCAATACCTGAGGCACTTCCCATTCCACAGCAACAATGAGCAGTAACCAGCTGTGTTTCACCATAGGGGCTTCTCCAGGGTCTTTGTCTAAGGGGCATTGACCAAAGCAACCCAGGACCATATGATCTTGCCTTGTATTTCCTCCATCACATTTGTCTCAAGAGCCCCTCTAGACAATATGTTTGTCTTTTGGGCTACATCCATAGGTGCTCAGAGCATACACCTGGCTCTGTGCTCGGGGATCACTTCCCGCAGAGTTTGGCCTGAGACCATATTTGGTCCTGGAATCAAACCCGAGTCTGCCACTCCTAAGCAAATATATTTTAAAAAAGCTAATAAACCTTGTATTAAAGCTAATAAAACTTTGAATTCTAAAATTTACAGTCCCACGGCCAAGTGCTCTTGTGTTTTTCCTTTGTCTTAAACTGAGATAGAAATCAGACTGGGGGTCAGAGCGATAGTACAGCGGGTAGAGCAATTGCCTTGCATGCAGCTAACCTGAATTTGATTCCCAGCATCCCATATGGTCCCCCAAGCACTGCCAGGAATAATTCCTTACTGCAGAGCCAGGAGTAAACCCTGAGCACTGCTGAGTGTGACCCCCCCAAAAAAAAATCATACTGAAATATATCAAGAGAGTTAGTAACCCTTTGGATTAGGTGGTGGTGGCAGTGGAGGTGACAGGGATCTCGCTTGCCATGCAAACAGCACATTTGGCCCAGAGCCTCACACATGCAAGGCACGCTCCCACCCACTGACCCATATCCTCTGGGTCCCACCAGATGGAATTCTAATAACTATGAAGGTCGTTCCTCATCACCAACAACCCTCTAGACGTGGTTACCCCTCTCAGGGCCGCAAAGCCTGCTAACAAATTCAACAACCTCAAATGTGACTTTCGTGTTAAAGGCATTGGTGGCTCTATCTGTCCATCCTTTCCCCGCTCTCCTCTCTTCTGTTTAACAGAAGTTTTCTTTCCTGTAAGGGAATCACAAATACTTGTGTGTTCTGGGTTCACTCACTAACCCTCTACCTCGCCTTTTATGCACAAAATGTGAGGAACATTTGACCTCAGTCTGGCCAATCAGAAAACCTTATTCCCTTTGGCCACACTGATTGGCTTGTAGTAGGCAGGTAACCCAGGTGCTGGGATGGAAGCAGCGATTTTTTTTTCTGCCAAGTCCCGAGCTGATTGCTAGCACCCCTGAGCTGCCAACGGCCACCTCAGCTTCCATGCTGAAGCTGCTGTGTACATAAAGACTGAGACAGAGAGCTGACATCTGTACCCTCAGATTTAGTAGTGCCCAAAGTCAACTGCACTTCCAAGACCCTCTGTAATTTAATATTTAACTAGTTAATTTTTTAATCCCTAGTTAGCTCAAGTGGAATTTCTATTGATTTATCAACAAAAGGAAATCATTGAATATACCTAAAGTTTTTCAAACAAACCAAATCTCGTCTATGCCATCAGCATCCCAGGTTCTCTTTTTTTTATTATTAATTTTTAATTATATTTTATGGTTTTTTTAATTGAGTCACTGTGAGATACACATTTATAAAGCTGTTTATGATCAGGTTTCAGCCATATTATGATCCAACACCCATCCCTCGCTATGTCCATTTCCCACCACCAATGAGGACAGTAGACTCCTGCAGCTGGGGTGGGTCGTGGTCCTGTGTCCCTGTCCCCTCTCCAATAAACTTATGGCTAGGCTGCATGCAACTGTGAACATAGGAACAAATTCTGATCAACTCAGACATTTTTTGACAAGTCATCACAGAAGGAATAAAGGACATGAGGGGAGGGGGCACCACTCTCTTTTCCGACTAGTGTTTTGGATGGAAGAGACTCTCCAGAGAGGACACTAAGATATATGAATAGCAAGCAAGTGAAGCTCCTCTATAGTCAGAATATTATATGGGGAATATTATAAAAGTAAAAGTAAAAAGTAAAGGCCCTCCATTGATCATCGATTTGCTCGAGCGGGCCCAGTAACGTCTCCATTGGAGATTTTGTTGTTACTGTGTCTGGCATATGGAATACGTCACGGGGAGCATAATACTGTGAAGAGAGACTTGGGGAACAACCAGTGAAAGAGAGAGACTCTGCCATGTCCCAAGTGCCAAGTGGTTGTATTTTCTAGATTCTTACACCTCCTCCATGTAAGAACTCTTGTACCTGCTCATGTTTTCCAGCTCACCACCCATTTTCAACCCAACTCAACTTACCAATGGAAAATCTCTTCTCAGTATTCTAATTCATGATAATGTATGCTAAAGTAGTAAATCATTTCTAATTCCTTATGCTAATTTATGAGTACATCCCTGGAATCCAAGCTCCTGTCTAGGGTCAGAGTTGTCCCGTCTCTGATGCATGGGTTTCTGATGAGAAACTTCAAATGTTATCCAACCACTGCGGTGGTATAGATTAAAATTTATTTCTATATGCATCCATCTCATTGTTCAACCAAAGAATAAAACGCATACACCAAATCTTAGTCTTATTGAGAATCAAATATATGCAACTGCAGATAGTCACCTCAGCACCATATCAAACAGTAAACTCTGAACACTGCTGGGAGTGGCATAAAAATCCATAAAAGCCCCCAAATTGATAAACATAAATTTTAAGTATATGCATATATATCCCTCATGCTATGCACATCAATTTCCCTTTATTATTAACAACTTGTATTGCTATCCTACATATATTTCTATCAGCCAGTATTGATATGTCCTTAACTAAGTCATTCTGTATGTTTTTCAGTTTTATAGATTTAATGAAATGCATATTATATATCCACTAAGATAATATCAGAGTTTTTCCTAAAAGTCCCCAGTTGTGGTTGAATACAGATAACATTAAATTTAACATCTTAATCATTTTAGTAGTTTGTCTATTTATTGAATATTATATTTTTTCCAAGAATGCCATAAGGTTGGAATCATGCAAAATGTAGTCTTTCTAGACTCAGACTCATTCATTCAACAGTGTTCCTATTAAGGTTCCTCCATGTCAGTTTTGTTGCTTAAAAGTTTATTTACTTATTTATTTATTTATTTATTTTGCTTTTTGGGTCACACCCGGGGCTACTCCTGGCTCTTCACTCAGGAATAACTCCTGACGGTGCTCAGGGGACCATATGGGATGCTGGGAATCAAACCCGGGTTGGCCGCGTGCAAGGCAAATGCTCTACCCACTGTGCATTTGCTCCATCCCCAAAAGTTCATTTTTTAACATATTGTACTTGTTTGTTTTACCACTGAGTAATATTTTATTGTATGGGTGTACCACAGTTTATTTAATCATCTTTTGCAGGACACATTAACTTAGTGTTTCTGGCAATTATGAATAAAGTTACTATAAATATGAGTTAGGGTTTGTGTGGACATAGTTTTCAACTCTTTTTTTGGGCAAAATACTAAGAGCAAAATTGCTAGATTGTATAACCAGACTACTTTTAAGTTTGTAAGAAACTGCTGAAGTGGCTGTATCATTTTTGCATTCACGCCAGTACAATATGAGAATTTCTGTTGCTCTACAGTTCTAGTATTTGCTATTTTCAGTGTTGTGGATTTTAGCCATTCTACTAGGTGTGTTGTATTCTGTCAGCATTGTTTGAATTGCAGTTACTCAGTGATAAATCATGCTGAATATCATTTCATATGCTTATTTGCCATCTATATATTTCTTCTTGAGAAATTTCCGTTTAGATCTTTTGCCCCCATTTCCTACTAATTATTTTTGTTTTGTCAGGGCTGGAGCAATAGCACAGTGACTAGGGCGTTTGCCTTGCACGCAGCTCACCCGGGTTTGATTTCTCCGCCCCTTTCAGAGAGCCCGGCAAGCTACCAAGAGTATCTCGCCTGCTCGGCAAAGCCTGGCAAGCTACTCATGATGTATCTGATATGCCAAAAACAGTAACAAGTCTCACAATTTGTTGTGAGATGTTACTGGTGCCCGCTCAAGCAAATCGATGAACAACGGGAGGACAGTGCTACAGTGCTATTATCTAGAAAATTGTTGGACTATTCTAAGTCTTTGAACCTACCACAAAAATGGGGTCGTTGGCAGCAGAGTGAGGCAAAGCATTTGTCCCATTCAAGAAGGAGTGAACCAAGTTATGAAGTCCCATGATCGGAGAGTCCAAAGTTCCATCCGCTTTATCAAACCCTTCCAGGGCATTCCTGAGAAAAATAAGTATGATAACAACAACAGTCAAGGATTTTTGGAGCTTTCTTCTTATTGTTCCCAGCCTAAACAACGGTCTTCTAAATTGAGACTGTGTGGGGACACAGAAAGCTTTGAAAAAGCCAATTAACTAGTAATTAAGTGATTAGTAACTAATGATCTTTTAAAAAGGGATATAGCTCTTCATCCACATGACTTGTGGACCTATTCATATAGATTCTTTTATGTGCAAGATGACAATTACACATCTTCTGAGCTCTCTTTCATGCAGACTAAATTTTTTCTACCAAAACTCAGTATCCCCAATTATGTGATCAGTAAATGTATTTCGAATTAACATAGAAACATAAAATATTTCTACAGCTTGACTGTGATCTATTCAGCATTCTAGATATATTCTCCAACTCCTTATCCTTCTCTTTTCTCCTCCCCACTTGCAAGAAATTCTAATTGCCCATACTCTAACTCAGTGATTCTCAAATTTAAGCATACATTGGAATCACTGGAGAAAAACACATATTTTATGCCCCACTTACAAAGTTTCTGATTCAGTGGGTAGAGACTGGATCCTAATAAGTTTTATTTCTCTTCAACTCCCAGATGACACCAATTATGGTGACCTCAGAACTACATTTGGAGAACCAGTTCCCTCACTCAAAACTTGATGGAATATACCTTGGATTAGTGACATTTTACAACAATAAAAACAAACAAAAAATATGTTGTTTTTCAAAATAATCTTGAATGTCATCTTGGACCTCCCCATAACCCTACACTGAGGTTCAACCCTACCATACACTCTGGAACCCAAAGGAGAAAGCAAGCTACACTTTAACAGTTACACTCTGTATTTGAGTTCAGTGGTGTGCCCCGCTGTATAATTTACATACAGTTAAGAAAGAATGGATTTTGTTTGGGAATCTGAGTCTATTTACCCTCTGCTGTTCTTGTTATTGGGTCACAGACAATGTATTCAGAGCTTATTCCTAGCTCTGCACTTAGAGATCGCACTGCACTGGATGTCTTGGGGACCAGATGGGGTTCTGGGGATTAAACCCAATTTATCTGTGTGTAAGGCAAGCAACCTACCTGCTATACTATCCCTCTTGCCCCTACTATTCTCTTTTGGAGCTCTATCCTTCTTTGTTTAAAATATTGTTCATATCAAAATAGCCATCTCATAATTTTTATTAGAGGGAGGAAATTGTTATATGATCTTTGAATTTCAATATTATAAGGTCACTGCTCTGTTATAATTTATAATTTGAGTTAAGTGTACACTTTGGGATCTCAACTTCTAATATCAATGTCTCTGGCTAATACATTTTTAAAAAGACAAAAAAGTACAGAGCTGGTTCAACATACTGAGTTAACTGTATCTATAATTCAAGATACTGAGCACATGACTCAAGTCAACCACATTTGAATTGGGAACTTACCGGACCCCAAAACCTAAATGGAAATGACTACTAAGCACAAAACTGGCAAGTTTTGAGTTCTGCTCTACCTAGAGTCCAAGTATTGCTGGGTGTGCTCCAACATTAAAAATAAATAAATGGATGACTCATTTATATAATAAATGAATGAAAAAGATAATTAAATATTTACTTCTGGTAGGGGTTGGAAACAACAACTAATGGTGTAGGAACTATATTCAGTGTCAGGGATTGAGCTGGGGTCAGCCATATACATGGCAAGTGCTTTAACCCTGTACTGGCTCCTTTATCCCTTAACTATTTTTAAGATACTATATTTAATGAGGTATGTTGATTCTGAAGACTATACCTGAATATATTTACAGAAATTACAGATACAAAAGTTGACTTTAAATAACTACATTAGAGGATAATTGTGATAGCACAGCGGTAGGGCATTTGCCTTGCACACAGCCAGCCCGGCTGAGCCAGGTTCGATTCCTCCGCCCCTCTTGGAGAGCCTGGCAAGCTACCGAGAGTATTCAATATGCCAAACACAGTAACAAGAAGTCTCACAATGGAGACGTTACTGGGCCCGCTTGAGCAAATCGATGAACAACGGGAGGACAGAGGATAATTAAAGCAATACCCCTTGTACAGGGTCTGGGGAGGTGTTGGACCACACCCAGATGTGCTCAGGCTTACACTCTTAGTTACAGTAAGTGGAGAATAACTTTCCCCATGAGGTCTTGATATCTTCTTTGGATCAAACCCCTCCCTCATTATGTTTTATAAATGCCTCCTGATATCTGAATTTCCTTCCCTTTCAAGATAATCACAGGCATGAATGTATAAAATACATTGTGAACCTCCAGATGAGCAGAGCTCAAAGAACCAACCTGAAGCTGAAAGTAGAGTTCTGGAAGAAAGGAGGATTGTCAAACTTCTGGAGAGACAAACAGTCTTGTATGTCTTTTGAGGTGGGCAATTTCTCACCGTTTCTTCCCACCTGGCTTCTTCTTAGCAAACCTTCATAGGTTCCATTACACAGTGTGACGCGTTGGTTGTAGTCATCTAAGCTAAGATTCACAAGAAGATTAAAAATACTATATCTACCCTACAGATTGAAAGAAAATATTTGCTCATCATTCATATGACAAAGAGCTAACATCTAAGATATTTAAAGCACTTGCAAAAATTAGAAATAACAAAAACAACAAAACAACTCCCCCCCCCACCCGCCAAATGGGAGAATTACTGAACAAACATTTCCCTAGTGAAGACATGCTGATGACCAACAGATATATGAAAAAATACTCTTTGTCACTTATCATCAGGGAAACATGAATAAAAATAACAGTTAGGTATTATCTCATACAGTGAGATTGGCATACATCCAAAAAAAGTAGAAAAAGCAATGCTAAAAAGGATATGGGAGAAAAGAAAGCCTTATTCACTACTAGTGGGAATGTTCAGCCTGTATAAAAAATAGTATGGAGATATCTCAAAAATTAAGAAATGAGCTACACATGACCCAGTTCTGCGTCATAAGAATGCTTCTTAGCATCTAGCCCAAAGTGTCAAAACCACTATTTTGAAGACTTTTGCACTCCTGTATTCACAGCAGCACTATTCACAAAAGGCAAGATCCAAAACAGCTCAAGTGCCCAAGAACAGGTAAGTAGATAGAGAAATTGAGATTGTTTTACACAGATGAGTAGATAAAGAAATTGAGAGAGACGAATACTGATGAGCTACAAGAGCAGATGAGATCTTGCTTTTTGCTTCAACCTGCATGGATCTAGAGAGTATCATGCTAAATGAAATAAGTCAGAGAAAGAAAGACAAATACTGGGCTCACATGCAGGATTTAAAGAAACAGAACAATGAAACAGATGATGTAAGCAAAGGCTTACTTAGAACTGACCTTACCAAGGGGAGAGGGTAGAAATGGACAGGATAGGAGGAGTCCTGTAAACTGTGGTAAAGAACTATTAGCACTATGGTACTGCTTATGGTGCATGACTGCCCAAACCTACCCTAACACTCTCTTACAAGCCAATGTTAGCTCAATTTTTTAAGTGAGAAAGAGAATAGAAAAAAATTGGGGGCAGGGCTGGAGCGATAGCACAGTGAGTAGGGCATTTGCCTTGCACACGGTCGACCCGGGTTTGATTCCCAATATCCCATACGGTCCCCTAAGCACTGCCAGGAGAAATTCCTGAGTGCATGAGCCAGGAGTGACCCCTGTGCTTTGCTGGGTGTGACCCAAAAAGCAAAAAAAAATTAAAATTACAATTAAAAAAGAAAGAAATATTGGGCAAAAGCAGGATCTACTCTTAGTTTTAAAGCAGTCTCCATGCTCACCATAGTATTCAGTTCCCAGATGTGATTTCCTATTTTTGTATTTCTTAAAATTTAGGGGCATCTTAGAATTTCTTAAAATCTCGCTGCCATCGTGAAAGTAATATTTAGAAATACAAACAGAACACAACATGTATTAGATGTTAAATGACGGGGCAACAGTCCACCTGTCGCACGTAAGCTATTATGATGTCTGGATCTTTGTAGAGTCACCAGCCATTACCTATTACAGACAATTTTCCAGTTGGAAAATCTGGAGTTCTGACTAATCAACATTGGATCATCTTCTCTTGGTGCTCCCAGCAGTTGGTCTGTACACACATCACACTCATTTCTCCCTGTGGCGAAGTTCCAGTAGGGCAGAGCAAAAGACTCATTACCTGTGAGTCGCTAAAGATAAAGAACACGCTGAGTCAATTTCATCTTTGTTGTCAGATACAATAAGAAAGCAAAGCCTGACCGGGGTCTTGATCATGAAGACAAAATCGGAAGAACTAAATATATGACTTAGGCTAACCTGGAGATCCCTTTCCAACCACAGCAAGTGGTACCGGTGCCAGGTAACGAAGGCAGGTCCTTGGTGAGAGAAATCAATAGCCTTGTATGGGCGCCCTGGTCCTAAAACAATCAGAAAAAAGATGGGAGATCATGGAATCAAATGTCTTCTATATTAAACTTTACTTATATGTGTCTGTAAATCCAATGTGTTCTTGATTTTTTGTTGAAAAAAAAATGCATTCTTGTCATTTATTTCTCTGAAAGCAACACTCAAAGAAACAAAACTGTTTTCAGGGACAACTTGCAACTTAAGGGTCTATTCTCCTTCAACGTTTGATTGCCAGAAGAATTCAGGTCACTTGAATACATTAAATTCTATAGCCAATTTGTAAGCAAACTTTCATTAAGATGAATTGAGTGTCCAAAGAAATAGCTCATTAAGACCTACATGAAATATAATTTTTAAAGGCATTTTCTAAACTCTTCTTATAAATGCACAAATTTATAAGGGAGAGCCTAATGAATAATAGAACAATATTGGCTGCATGCTTAGTCCTAATTCAGCATTTATAAAGCCAAAAAAGTACATACACAATTTTGCCTCAGCCATCCATCAGTTCCAACTGTTAGCTGACAAGCATGGTCTCTGAGACCAGAGGAAGAAAAATACATTCAAACCAATTTGGCTGGCCACTGGAACTGTCAATTTTCGTGAAAAGCTCTGGGAAATTTAATGACCTCCTTACTGCCTGTTCCATCCTTCTTTCCCCTTTGATAATGGCTCTGGATGGCTATGTGGAAACTTTAGCTAACTCGACTTCTCTTTTCAAGTACCTATAATAACTTGAGAGAGCGGCACACACATGAATATAAATTCAATTCCTCGAGACAACCAGGAACTATAGTTTTCTTTTTCCCTTTAGAGTCTACCCTCTCATAAAGCAAAAAATCTTCAGAGTGATTCCAGGAAAACAACAAAAAGTATATGAACCAGGAAAGTCCTGATAGATGGATAAAGATAGGCAGATACTCACCTGTGAGGCAAGTGTTAAAAGGTCTCACTAAGGAAAGAACGTTCCTGTTGATATTAGCCACATTATCTTTTTATGCTCTGAATAAACTAGACAGTGGTCTGAGGATATGAGCCTTTTTGTGGCAAGTATGACACTGTAATATTATATTCCTAAAACATTAATATTGGTGTTAATTTAATTGATGGTGCCTAGATAAAAATAAAGAAACCAAGTTTAGGGGGACAGAGAGGGTACAGTGAGTAGGGTGCTTGCCTTGCATGTGACCCACCTGGGTTGAATTCCCAGCATCCATTTGGTTCCCGAAGCACCATCGGGAGTGATGGAGTAAGTTTTGAGTGCAGAACCAGGAGTAAGCCCTGAGTACCACCAAAGTGTGACCCCCCCCAAAAAACAAAGAAAAAATAAAAGAAAAAAAAGAAAGAAATTTTTCTAAATAAAATGGTAAAGGAGGATTAAGTGCTGGGGGGGGGGGGTGGCATTGTAAACATAAAGGCTGATAATTTCAAAGGAGGGTGACAATTCCAGAGAGCATTTAATGTGCTCACGCATTTCACCCTTATCCCAAAGTTAAGTCCCCCAAATGAGCACAATATCAGGTAGAGGTGAGGACGGCTCACAGTCTCAATGTGTACAGGTGCTCCAGTCCTAAAATAGCTGGGGAGTGCCAGAGACTACACAACAATATTTCTGGTTCCATCCCAGAACCCAGCTGGGTTTCAATGGTTCAGAAGCAAAAATTCTGGCCCTATCTCTCCACGGGAAGGAAAACTGAAGCCAAAGTTACACCTACTACTTTAGTCAAATTCCTAATAGACAACCCCCCACCCCATTCCATGTCCTCCCTCGGCCCCAACTTTTGGAATCACGAAGGGTGGGTCATCATTTTGTCCAGCAATCAATATATTCCAATTTAAACGGCGCACCAGGAGGACTTCTACATGGCTGTGACTCAATTTTAGGTGCTTCCCTGATAATAGTACACCTGCCCAAAACGGAGGGTTCCCACAGTGCTGAGCACCCTACACGTGAGTTTAACAAGAGGTCACCTGCCAACACAACTTCTTTTACTGCACAAAGACATTTCTTAGCTTTGATCACATGTTCCATTAATCTCTCTCATTTGAAGATCAGAGGGGCATTCTTAGGTCAGATCAAGAATGTTTTGTTTCCCTAGAACCAAAAGGAATGTATCTCCACCTCAACTCTTGCCTTTGAGAATTAATAGCTTTATAGGCAAGAGATTAGACTATGAAACCCTACACTAAGTCCAGGAGATAACATTTTCTTTTCAACTTTTGAGACACACCCATCAACACTCAAGGGTCACTCCTGGCTCTACCCTCAGGAATTACTCCTGATGGTTTTCAGGAGACCATATGGGATGCTGAGGATCAAATCCAGGCCTGCCACATGCAAGGCAAGCTCTCTACCAGCTGTACTATGACTCTGGTCCTGTAATATCATTTTTGGAATGTCTGCAGCCCATGTCTAAGAAGACGCTGGTCCATAACTCCAGGCAGCATTGGCACAGGCTGCTTTTTATAAGCCTACTCCTTTCTTGAGATCAATTCACTTGTGTGAAATGATTCCCCTTGCCACCAATCCCCAGTCGATTGTCATCTGCCTTTAGCTCCTCAGAGACACCTACCCAACAGAGTATCTCTAACAGAGTAATAATGGAGCCACACGAAAAAATCGTAAATGCTGCAGTTGGCAATTTGTGGCTGGGTGCCCCCGGGCCCAAGCAAGCCCAGCCAGTGCTGCGTGGTGATCACATAGTCAGGGTGCACAGTGTTCTTGGCCAAGTCTAAGGCACTCAAGAACTGCTCCCTCTCTTGAAGGGTCAGGGAGTGGATATTCCGCCGAACCACTGGTGTCTTCCTCTGATCACAGTTGGAGCCTGTCCAGCCGAACTTGCAGTCTCCGCAGTTATAGCCAGCAAAGTTTCCTAGTGTTGAAAAAACAAGAATATAAAATGACAGAATGGGAGTCTAACACCCAAGGATAATACAGATAAGGGCCAGGAAGATCGCTCCATGACTTGGAAGCCAGCCTCACATGCTGGGGAAAAGGCAGCTGGGATGGATAAGGGATGACTAAGTGAATGATGCTTGGAGGGCTCGTTTGGGATGGGAGATGCATGCTGAAAGTAGACTATGGACCAAACATGATGACCACTTACTACATGTATTGCAAACCATAAAACCCAAAAGGAGAGAGAGAGAGTAAAAGGGAATGTGCCTGCCACAGAGGCAGGGGGATGAGGTGGGTATGGCGGAAGGGATACTGGGAACATTGGTGGTGGAGTTTGGGCACTGGTGGAGGAAAGGGTATTCAATCACTGTATGACTGAAATGTAATCATGAAAGTTTGTAAGTCTGTAATTGTATTTCATGGTATTCACTAAGTGTGTGTGTGTGTGTGTGTGTGTGTGTGTGTGTGTGTGTGTGTGGCCTAAGTGGATGGAGTTTGGAAGATGTTTCTAAATTTGAACCACTGGAATGGAAGAAAAGATGGTGGTGCTCTCTAGAGGTAATTAAAGTCAACTCAACTTCCTTTTCTGGGTCTCCTTCTAAAATGCTTGTCTTTCCCAGTGGACTGTAGGGATACAGAGTTACCTAGAAATCGTCCTAGCAAAGCAATAGAATAAGCCATGTTTTGCATGCTCTCCAAATCTGAACAAAGTCCCCACTAAACATCTGTGTGGAAGTCCTAATCCCCAATCCTTCTGCATACGACTGTCATTAAGAAATGGGGGAATAAAAGAAGTCATTCAAATTAACAATCAGGGCAGCTCTTGTCCAACACAGAGATTGGTGTTTAAGAAGTTGGGCACAGAGAGTTACCAGGGGAGATGAACACACAGGGAGAAGATAGTCAAGGCCCTGACGAACACTTCAGCCTAAGCAACTGCCACAGAATGTATTTCTGTTGATGCCCTGTCCTGTGGCACTTTGTAATGGGATCCCTGGACAAGAACACACTATCTCTCTGGGCCAGAGAGATAGTAAAGTGGATAAGGTGCTTGCCTTGCACATCGCTGACCCAGGTTCAATCCCTGGCACCCCATATGGTCCCCCAAGCACCTCCAGGAATGTTCCCTGAGCACAGATTGGGAAGTACAGTATCCCTTAGAAGTACAGAAGCATCCCTGAGCACAGATTGAGCACTGTGCCCACACCCCCTCCCCCCAAAAAAAAGCCAAGGAAGGAAAGAGAAATGACAAAAGAAAGAATGAGAAAAAGAAATAAAGAATGGGAGGAAGGAAGGAAGGAAGGAAGTGATGTAGACAGGTAGATAGGGAAAGGCCCTTGGCAATGAAACTTGGATTAACAAAGTTTCATGGAAGAAGAATTCTAGGACTGATCCACCTTGTGGATACAGAAAACAAAGACCCGATAAGACCATCAGTAGACCCTGAGGATATAAACTCCTTCCCCATGAAGTTCCTCAAATCCTCAGACCTCTGCCTTAATCTGATTAAAACGTGATCCAGCCCAAAGAAGACTCACCACTCCCAACCTCCCTGGTAACCTCCTCAGCAATAGACTTTTACCTTGGAAGAAGCTTCATGTGGCGGAAGGCTGGAGAAACCCTATAAAGGCCATCTTGAACAAAGGAAGGGCGAGCATATGCTGCCTGAGTTCATGGGCTGCTTGTGCCCATGTGGCCAAGCACATGTGGGCTGAGCACATGCGTCGCCCACATCTCCCCTCTTGAGATGTGTGCTTTCATGCTTTTGTGTCTAATGCTAGGATGTGTGTAGGGGCTCTCTCTCCACCCTTGGAGAAGCCCGTGTTCTCTCTTGAGTACGTTACTCTCTCACTCTCTCCCCCTCCACACCTGAAAATTCTCCAAATAAAATCCATTTCACTGCTTGTCTACTCCTGAAATTCCTTTCCGCGAGGTGAGACAAAAACCCAGTAACCCTGGGTCCCGGGCGGCAGAGGTGGTTGGGGAGAAAATGACCGTCTTTCTCCTCCCCACTTCACATAAGTCACCTGTGGGGCCCACCGATATAGGAAGGAAGGAAGGAAGGAAGGAAGGGAGGGAGGGAGGGAGGGAGGGAGGGAGGAAGGAGAAAGATAAGAGAGAAAGGGAGAGATAAAACCTCTCATGGATCACAGAGAGGCTCTGCCCTCCTCAACTTCCTGTCCCACCAGGGGCTGAGCAGCACCCGGATGTGGATGCTCTGAGTCCCACTGCCCCAGGGCACACATGAAAAGGCTGGCACAAAGCAGTGCATTGACTTGGAGAAGGAAAATGCTACGCACTAAGCAAAAGGCTAGGAACGGATGTAATAAGTGGATTTCCAGGCATTTGGGTGTAAGCGAATTTTCTTTTTTTTAAGCTGCTTCATTTCACAAAGGAGACAGGGTTAGGACAAAATCCACGGAGGCTGGCAGCTCTGTGAGGTGAACTGCATCCACAGTGGCAGGAAGTGCAAATCACTGCCTTGTTCCTGTCGGCAGCACGTGTCTCTGCTCCGTCAACCCCAGGAATGAGAACTAGGAGATCACACTCAACGCATTTTTCTGGTTGAATTCTAAAGCTTAATTTATTTGAACTTGGCCCTTGATTTTTTCCATATTTGAATATTGTTTTAGAGGAGATCTACCTCTCCTTTTGGTGTGGGTTAATTAAATATTGAAATTTTCATGAAATGTCAACATTATTCTACACATTAAAATATCTGAAATATTGTTGAGATGATACAGAGGGGAGGGTGCTTCCCTTGATGTGGCTAACCTGAGTTCTCTCCCCAGCATCCCATATAGTACCCTGGGTACGGTTCACCCTGCCCCCAAAAATATATCCAAAATATAGAAATGAAAGAGTATTACCATGCAGTCCTCCCAGGGGACCTGAAAAGTCAAGCAAAGCATTTAAGTGTCGGCCAACTCCATGCTCTCCTCTTTCTTTCCGGCTACCCAGGTCTTCTGATTGCTCACCCCTTCTGTCTACAACACTTTCCCTCACCATCTGCCTAAACTGCTCTTTGCCCTGGTCACCTACTTTTAAGTTTCACAATAGGTTCTGTATGAATCATCCTTGATTCATTCATCACATTGGGGTCAGTTGCTCTGTGTTTGCCCTCTGGTACTTTGCATCCGTCTTTCACTGACTTTATCCCAGTGCTTATAAACAGCTGCTTATAGCCACTACAGGCAGCTGTAAGACTGACCTTATACATGATGAATGTTTGTTGGATGAATGAAAGGCACATGAAGGAAGGCAGGGATTTGAGGAATAGTGCAGAGGTTAAGGCACTTGCCTTGCAACCCTGCTGACCCTGATTCAAATCCCTGGAGTAATACAAGTGGTCATTCCTGATACAAAAATAGGAATCCTCCAGGTGGGACTCCCCCAAAAGAAAAACATATAAAATCAAGCCAGCCCAATGTTCCCTATATAGATCTTATAGTTTTGTGAATTATCTTTCCATAAAGCTAAAATTACAAATATATATATTTAATAAAGACAACAAAGAAAGATAAAATACATAGTTGATGATTCTATAAATATAAATGTTCTTCCACTTTCTCCCTGTTCTTGTAGATTAGAAGGGAAATTGGGCCCTGTAAAATCATTCTGATAGATAATAAAAACAAAAATGGAAATGAAAATGTACTATGTGATAGAGTTACCTGGATCTCTAAAGGAAAACGAAATATTTTCAATACCATAAACACAAAATAATTAGCTTTGTACACATTGGTACTGTGTTTTGTGTGTGTGTGTGTGTTTGTGTTTGTTTGTTTTTTTTTTTTTCAAAAAGTACATGTTTTCATTTCTATGAAGCTAAAAGATTCTGCTTGTTTGGGGGCCATATCCAGTGGCAACTCCTAGCTCTGTGCTCAGGGGTCACTCCTGGTGGTATGCAGGGAAGCAAATGTGTTGCCAGGAGGGAACAGGAATTGACTGTGTTGACTGAATAGATGGTGAGGGGAAAATGTTATAGACAGAAGGGATAAACATTTAACCTCTGTACTATCTCTGGCCTCGTAGGCAAAGGACTTTTTGATGGTTAAACAAATTATTCTTAAAAACATCTTATGTAGAGCCAGAAAGATAGTATAGCGGGGGGCGGGGGGGGGTGGGGAAGAGGTCATTTGCCTTGCATACAGTGAACCCAAGTTCAATCTCCGGCATCCCATATGGTTCTCCAAACACTGCCAGGAGTGATACCTGAAAGCAGATTCTGGAGTAACCCCTGATTATTCCCAGGTATGACCCAAAAAAGCAAACAAAAAGAAATAGAAAAATAATTTGGTGCTTGAAGTGATAAATAGTAAAATGGGTACGGCACTTGCCTGTGTGTGGCTGATCTAGGTTCCAACTCCAGCACTTCGTATTATCCCCAGAGCCCAGTCAGGAGTGCTCCTTGAGCACAGAGCCAGGAGTAAGCCCTGAGCACTGCTGGGTGTGGCCCAAACCCCTCACCAAAAATCATCTCAAGTAGAAAGAATTCATTTCTAAGTAATTGACTATTCAGTATCTATGCTCTTTGTAGCACTCATTATACCTACCCTTGCATAGCCTAGTTACATTATACCTACTCTTACATAACCCATTTACATTATACCTACTCTTACATAACCCATTTATATTATACATACCCTTACACAGCCGGTACATTATACCTACATTTACATAGCCCAATTATCTCTATTTGCCGATTTCAATACTGTATAAAAACAGAAGTAAAAAATATTTAAAATTAAAGTCTATTTATCCCCAAACTGGAATCATGTTAGGGTTAAACATTAAAATTTACATTGTTTACTGGGGTGAAGCTATTAAATAAAAACTATGTACCATGTGTTTATTGAGCACCTATTATATCAGACAATTCTCAGGTACTTAGGCTTCATAAAGTTTGGATTCTTGATTTTCTCTTGCTATCATCCAAGTTCTCTGAAAATTTTTTATGATATCTTTTAAATA